TCAGAGACTGCAGATATGCTTCAGGAGATGGTCAGAGACTGCAGATATGCTTCAGGAGATGGTCAGAGACTGCAGATATACTTCAGGAGATGGTCAGAGACTGCAGGTATACTTCAGGAGATGGTCAGAGACTGCAGATATGCTACAGGAGATGGTCAGAGACTGCAGAGATGGTCAGAGACTGCAGGAGATGGTCAGAGACTGCAGATATGCCACAGGCGATAATCAGAGACTGCAGATATGCTACAGGAGATGGTCAGAGACTGCAGATATGCTTCAGGAGATGGTCAGAGACTGCAGATATACTTCAGGAGATGGTCAGAGACTGCAGATATACTTCAGGAGATGGTCAGAGACTGCAGATATACTTCAGGAGATGGTCAGAGACTGCAGATATACTTCAGGAGATGGCAGAGACTGCAGATATGCTACAGGAGATGGTCAGAGACTGCAGATATGCTACAGGAGATGGTCAGAGACTGCAGATATGCTACAGGAGATGGTCAGAGACTGCAAATATGCTACAGGAGATGGTCAGAGACTGCAGATATGCTACAGAAGATGGTCAGAGACTGCAAGAGGTGGTCAAAGAGCACATGCTGCAGGAAATGGTCTAAGACTGTCATCCTGTGGATAGGGTAGTCTTGGACATGTAACATTAGATGGAATTTTAGGGACAAACTAAAGCACAACTCCACCTAACACTTTAAGCAGTTAAAGCAACAGTTCTGTTTTTAAATAATATGAATACAAGCTGACTGTTGTAAGCACCCCCATCTGTTGTAAAATTGTTGGTCCCAACCGTGGCATCTACCACTCCTGCTGGACAGCTTAGTCCGTTAAAAGAAGTGGAGAAATGACGGATCTACTGACAGAATCAACGGGTGATAAAACTATGTTACGGGGGGGAAAGGTAATGTTAATACTATTGACAGACTGCACTTGTTATGTATTCATCACAAGCAATTTGTCGAGAGAGCTCAATAATTTTTTTAAACCTTTAACTATAAATAGCTTTTCCATACTATTTATGAGTTGCTTATAATTAATGGTACTTGGGTCATTCATTTCATAAAACATTCGTGTAAAAAATCTTTCAGCTCCTCTGACACCTCCTTCCAAGCCACATTCCTTTGGCTGCACATGAACACGTGTCTGTGCGGTGGTTATCTACCAATACTCTGTGTACTGTACATTATTACGTGCATGAGTCAATATAATAATTGTTTCTTCTGTCTTCTGCTTGTCTGAACATTTCATCTGCCGAGTAACAACATGCAGATGAGACCTGAGTAGCGCTGCAAGCTTACTATCCACATCTGCTTAGCTCGACAGTGCAGGTATGATCCAGCTTCTCCTGTAACAGCGCAGCCATCTGCCGTGATACCGTCTTTATATCATTGGCGTTCGGAGATGGAATATAAACTCTGAAACATCCTTTTCGGTTTCAGTGAAATGCTCCATTTTTTACAGCTTTTTATTTAACAAGGTTTGTCAGGCTGTGGGAGCTGCATATTTATAGTTCACAGCAGCTTCTGTCTACATTTTTATCCTCGAGTCAATGTTTTATGTTGAAGGGTAATTTAACATTTAATGTTGGCGTTACATTATCATTATTGGTTTATGAATGTTGTTTTATTTCCTCTTTAGAGCTCTTGAGGACAGACGCAGAGAAGAAGAGCTGAAGGAACAGAGATTCCGAGATGAGGTTCTACAGCGAAGGAAGATAAAACTTCAAGAAGCCACAGAGAACTTCCAGAGGGCCCACCTACCTCCATCACAGCGCAGGAGAACTGGTCAGTGCCTGATTGTCATAGAGTTAAAATGACATTAGACTCAGGAGATAAATCCTAAAAATACATTCAAATACCTTAACTATGAACAAAAATGTATCTTATTGTGTATCACTTGGCTGTAGATCCTCAAATCATCTCTGAGTTATTGCTGACACTGTCCTTCCTTCTGGAGAGTGGCTACTTTTGTTCCCCATGGCCCCTGTGTGTGTTGAAAAGTAGTCACCCCTCCAAACTCACTCCCGTCATGGGCTACAATTCCATGTTTAGTTTTCTAGTTTGTATGGAGAGTGTAGTCCATCGCTGGAGTGAGCTTGGAGTGGTGGCTACTTTACAACACTTTTTTCTGCAATGGAGTCATAAACAAAAATAAGAACCAGGAATGTTAATATTGCCAGTGCACAACCAGTGAAGCAAGATACTCCAGCATACCTTTATTGTGGATCAATGCCACTGCAAGGTGGTTGGTCACTCAGCCTACATATAGTGAATTGTCAGGAGAAATGCCCAGGAAATGTTTAGCTGTTTCTTGCTATAGGGATCGACTCGTTGAAAAGGGATCTTCTCACTCTCTGTGAATCCAATTCAGCCAATTTGGGGAAAGTCGATTGCTAATGCGGCATGGCAGTAGGGACATACCAAGCTCAGTGTTCTCATACGAGATTTAAAACTTCCACTTCTCAGGAGCAAAGAGGGTTACTCATATCTGTAACTTAATGGTTACCCTTCATCGTGTTGTATCCATGCAATGGCAGCTGGTGATAGCAGTTGATTAGAAGTCATGTAATTGTGGTCTTGGGATACTTTTTTTTTTTTTTTTATTACAGAACCATTATAATTCTGCTTTGTATCACGTCGTCCTACACGTCAGCATTTCAGGATTCCACCTTAACAGTAAAGTTTCCTTAGAAAGTAAAATAGTAGGGGTTCAAAGTTTATTGGAAGAGGACGGCAATGGAATTTAGTTTATGGCAGACATGAACAATTTACACTGAAACGTTTGTGAGGGTGATAAAGATAAAGTTTTATGTGTTACCTATAGCGACCAGTCAGATTCCAGAGGTTAATGTATAATGCACATCTACTATTGAAACTAAACTCAGGGCACAAAAACGTTTATCTAAATATATTCCTCAATAGCCACAAAGGATATAAATCTACTGTGTGTGCACCAAGTGTCTTTGCAAACCCAACAGCATTGGTAGGCAACCTTGGCACACCAGCTGTGGTGAAACTGCAAGTCCCGTTATGCCTCTAGGAGTCACGCCTGTGGCTGTCAGTCTTGCAATGCCTCATAGGACTTGTAGTTCCTCTACAGCTGGGGTGCTAAGGTTGCCTACCCCTGCTGTATAGAGAGCAAGGTTGTAGGAGGGACCCAGCAGGCCCATTCACTACAGGCTGCCCACTACAAGGGGGGCTAGTGTAAGACCAGTCGTCCTGTACAAGGGGAGAGGGCAGCAGTGACCGGTCTTTATTAGCCACAAAGGATATAAATCTACTGTGTGTGCACAAATGTCTTTGCAAACCCAACAGCCTTGGTAGGCAACCTTGGCACACCAGCTGTGGTGAAACTGCAAGTCCCATTATGCCTCTGGGAGTCATGCCTGTGGCTGTCAGAGTCTTGCAATGTCTCATAGGACTTGTAGTTCCTCTACAGCTGGGGTGCTAAGGTTGCCTACCCCTGCTGTATAGAGAGCAGAGCTGTAGGAGGGACCCAGCAGGCCCATTCACTACAGGCTGCCCACTACAAGGGGGCTAGTGTAAGACCAGTCATCCTGTACAAGGGGAGAGGGCAGCAGTGACCGGTCTTCGTTACAGGAATCTCCTGCATCGGGGTAAGGTTTCACACTGCATTTCTTCCAGATCTGTGCAGTGATCCAAAGTACATGAAGCCATAAGTAAGAATAGAGATGCTTCTTGTATATAGACAATATTTGCTTATCCTGGAGTTTAGCTTTAATGAATCCAGTTGGCTGCTTTAGGCACCACCTCCGCCACATCTCTTTGGCCTTGGTTTATAAATCATCTTCTCTTTATCATTTGTTAACATTGGGTGAAATTGGGTATAGATTTATGACACTTAAGGACCATTATGTTACCATTTCATTCCCTCTGTTAAATTGGCAATTTGAAGCAGGCTTTGAGAGCCTAGACATAGCCAGGAATTATGAGGAACTAGCACCTAGCTGCTAACAAATCTCCAACAAGGTCTTGCAATCTTGTGGCTGCAGATAAAGTTAATCAACTGTCACCTCACAGACCATCACAGACCATCAAAGCATTCTCCCAGGCCATGCGATTACAACCCAGCCGGGAGAGAGATCTTCTTTACACACCGAGGCCTTGAATGGTACAATCATCTGCCCTTTTCTTAGATCAGAGGGAATATGTTTAGTCTCTCATAAAAATCCAAAATATATATGGTAGGGAGACGAGTTTTTCCTTCTGATAGTACAAGCTTTGAGTTGAGCTATATGGATGCAAAATGGTAAGTCCTGGCCTTATAGAACATCCTAGGGACTGACTAAAGGGTTGTATAGACCCTGCCTGCAGCATCTGCGGGATGATGCGCTGATGTCGTAAATCCTAACTACTATCCAGTCACCAAAATTGGCTGGTCCATATAACCTATGGACACTTGGAGAGGCAAGAACTCTCCTATTACCAGGTAAGGTAAAATGTCCCAAGGTAGTTGGCTAATGGTTAGAGTCCGTCCCACATCTATAAATTAGGTAGCATGAAAATGAACCTTGTAATGCATCTGGTGCTAGTTCTAAACCATAACATTTATTTCTGGTTTTCTCCTCTTTTATTTTATAGCAAATAACCACTGTCATTTTCATTCTTGTTTTTTGTCATTTTTGGGATATTTCCCCACCTAGGAATATTATCATAAATCATGTGTTGGGTGCTGCAGGTGTGTGTTGAAAGGTGACAGTGCAGCAGGATTTCAGCTCACATGATAGCTTGGGGAATCTCAGAAGCATGTGATATGCTTGGTTGTCAGAAATCTGTGTGGGTATGGTTTGCTAGCAGACCATTTAGCTGACAAACTGCAGGTGGTGGCAAGCTACCCTAAATCATGTGTTGGGTGCTGCAGGTGTGTGTTGAAAGGTGACAGTGCAGCAGGATTTCAGCTCACATGATAGCTTGGGGAATCTCAGAAGCATGTGGGAATATTCTAGCTGCTACATACCTATAGTATGTATCGGTTTGTGTGCAAGATTTGTATATGCCTATGTGTCCAGGCAGCTAGATTTTAGAGAGTCTCCCTCTAGCCGTGGCTGGTGGTATTTCAGGCTGTGATACTTAAGTGAGTGTGTGTAATGCTCTGGACTACAAATCCCAGAGACGTCAAGCTTATCTCAAGGATGAGCCCAGCTGTAAAGCTTGGCAAAACTTTAATTTCTATTTGTTGTCTGTTCTTGCAAATTTATGTGTGTCTGAAAAAGTCCACTAAGATATATCGCAACACATTCCGCCCTGGACTATTTCAGATACCACACAGGAAAAATGAGTGTACCCTAACCACTAATGACACTCATACTAAACATTAATTCACAATGGATACAACAACCCCCCCATGACTATCTCTGGCCCAAGCAGGCAGGTTGCACGCCCCCTCCTGGACACCAGAAACATCTGCAGACTTGCTGGCCCAGGCAGGCAGGTTGCACACCCCCTCCTGGACACCAAAAACATCTGCAGCCTTGCTTTTTCTAAACAATTTACGCAGCATTTTCCCTAGCACAAGCAGAAAACACTACAGAAAACACAACTTTTACAACTGGGTTTAGTACAAATCCTGGCCAACACGACCCAACTTGGATCTAGTACAAAACCTAAAGACAAGTCTGTTTCAGTTGAGTCCACTGCAATCCCGGACCGAGCCCCCAAATGTAATGCTCTGGACTACAAATCCCAGAGACGTCAAGCTTATCTCAAGGATGAGCCCAGCTGTAAAGCTTGGCAAAACTTTAATTTCTATTTGTTGTCTGTTCTTGCAAATTTATGTGTGTCTGAAAAAGTCCACTAAGATATATCGCAACACAGTGTGTAGTACTGTTTTCGGCTGCTGGCTGTGTCTGGATTGGGGGGTAATTGGGACTGTCACAATAATTTGCCTGCATGCAGATTGGTTTCCCAGGATATGCAACAGATGGCGATAACTTGCACATCATCTGCCTCATCCCCACCTTACCACTGTACCCTCTGTAGCCCAATTTGTGACATGTTATGGGTTAGAACTTTGTCAGATTTGTTTTGTTAATGTCCAGATGTGGAGATGTGCCCTCACTTACTGTTCTGATGACACCCAGAGAAACCAGGTGGTCAGCTAACAGCAATGACCTAGATGTTATCATGACATCCTCCTGGCAGGTCTTTGCTGTCTGTCTGACCTGGTTGCAATGCTTTTTCCTAACTTCTGTCCAGGTGATGGGGGTCTGCTCTGAACTGACCATACTGGTTCCATTCTTCGGTATGCACATATATTCTTGTGGAAAATTAATTCTATGCATAGTATTGTCAAAAGGAATTCATAGAGATTTAATTTCAGATAGGAAACAGGAAACTCGGCTCATGTCAATGACTTGGGTGTCAGCAGGACATCCTGAAGTCCATTTTTTTTTTTTTTAAAGATTGTTTTTATTGAAGAAAAATATACAAAGAGGTAGCAAGAATAGGCAAGTTAGGAAAAACAAAGTCCACACAAGCATGTGACATTGCAGTATTACACGTAGGTACATAATTGGAAGACCGTGTCCAAGGCCTATATAACATGAGATCTCACAGGAGGCAACTGCTAGCCGTCCCCTACACGGACGCAATCCGAGGGTATGGCTAAAACATAAGAAAGCCTTGGTCTAAAGCCTTGGTTCTCAACTGGTGGGTCGCAAACCCATGTCCAGTGGGTCGCCACATGCCTTCCACTTTTCTAGGTGAGAAGATCCTCAGACTCCCCCTAGAGAAGCACGGTCAGTTCTCGCACCGAGCAGCCATTCAAAAATATGATGCCCAGTGTCGACTTGAGGTGGGGTGAGGTGGCCGCGAGGGAGCTCCATCCATATGTGCATTGCTTACAGCTCATCACATTCTGGCTCCCGAAACCTCTCTGGGTGCGCACTGGAGCTTTACAAGCAATATACATATGGATGGAGCTCCATCACAGCACAGCAGCCCACACTGGACCCCAGGTTGAGGATCCACTCCAGTTTCCCTAATGGCAACCCAAACGCACCTCCCACCCACAGTTTGATGGCCTGCAGCGGAAAGCGCAGTACCGCAACATGGAACATTGCAGTGCGACTTGGGTCACGACTTAATGACCGAGGACAAATGTGGGTCCAGAGGTTACACAGGTTGAGAACCACTGCTCTAAAGCACGCTTCATATGAGCAAGATAGGAAGACATGTTTCACGGGTCACAGCCTATTCCGAATAGTGCAGAAACTGAAAGGAAGGAAGGGGAAAACGGGAAAGAACAGAAGTAAAGGAGAAAGGGGAGTCAGAGGAAGTAGAGAATAGCCAAGTAGAAGAAGAGGGAACAGGGGTCTAGATAAAGTAGAGCCGAAGAAAAAACAGAAAGGTGCCATCCCTCAGTCCATTTTATTTATTGCTCTCTGGATCCCTAATGGAGAGGCTTGTGCTCAGTGACTGTGTGGTCAGCGGGAAAAGGACGTGAGCAGAATCTCTTCAACAGCAGTCACCAGCACTGGATGATGTGTGCAAGAAGTAAAGCACTTTTTATTCAACTGTCACATGCGTCCTACAGCCAACGTTTCGGGGCCAAGCAGGGTCCCTTCATCTGGGCAACATAGTGACTAGTGATGGGCTCAGGCTTATTTGCAGCTCCACGTGCCGAGCCCGCCAGGAAGCTGACAGCGCCGCAGCGCCAATCACAGGCACTGAGACATTGCCCGATCTCTGCACCTGCGGACCGGGATAATGTCTCAGTACCTGTGATTGGCGCTGTCAGCTTCCTGGTGGGCTCGGCACGTGGAGCAGCGAACACGCCCGAGGCCATCACTAATAGTGACCACTCGTCACTATGTCGCCCAGAAGAAGGGACCCTGCGTGGCCCCGAAACGGCTGTATGACGCATGTGACAATTTAATAAAAAGTGCTTTACTTCTTGCACACATCGAGTGCTGATGAGTTCTATTAATGACTGTATCTGACACGGCGTGTTGTCACTTCAAGCACCAACCTTCCGTTAAGGTCTGTACGCTGTATGGAGTGCAGGTGATTTTGTGTTATCTCTTCAACACCACACATTAATAAAATGACTTTTTTAGTGTGAAAGGGAACAGACCTTTGATATTTATGGCTGTCTGTGTTCCTGTTGTTGTAGAATCACCAGTTCAAGAAAAGGAGAGAAATCTTTCCAACAGGGACACAGATTGCATTAAATTCAGTGGGAAGAGGCACACACAGGAGAGAGGAGTTCCATCTCAGTGGGGTCCACAACACGGAGGCTTCAGAGTCCATCCACCCGAGCCCTTCTGCTGGCCCCAAGATGGGACTTCTCCTTCTTGGCTGTGACACCCCGGTGTTCTTCCCACATAGTGCATATTATGTTTTTATTCTAGAGTGCTATATTATATTGGTGGTCTGCGCCATTACTAGTTTTCACAGTATTAAATTCTAACAAAGGTTCTTACCTTTTCATCACTCTACCAAAAAGGAAGAAACAGTACGGGACGCCATTTCTTTATTTTTAATGCACGGCATTGAATGTAATTTGGTGACTAGATTATGCAGCTTGCATTATAATTCCATTTGCCTGGTCACTGCGCCATATAAGCACTTGCTACTCTCATTTCACTTTAGATTGGACCTTTTGTTTTAGGGCATACGTTGTGGAAGCCCGTGCAGAGACCTACTCCTGGGAGGGACAGACAGTTGTGGCATGTAATTGTATGCAGCTGCCTGTACATTCCTATGGGAGGACGCAGCTGTATGCGGTCAACACACTGACCCAATTCTGCAGTTCCAGGTGCCTGCACTTGTTCCAAGCACATTGTCTTCACCCAGACCTGTGTGGATAAGCAGGTTTGGATCAGCGTAGAGATGTACAGGCGGCTGCATGCATCTGTCCGTCCCAGGAGCAGCGCTCTGCATGGGCGTGCACGATGTATGGATGTGCACATGCGTGTGAATGAGCCCTTATTGTTACATTATGTTAATCTCTACATGTATTTATTTCCTCATTTGCTTAAACAGTGACAAGTACTGTATATTGCACTATACTTATTTACAAAGATTATTTATAATGAATTCTTTGTATTGCAGCATATGTAGTTAGTAAAAAGCCAAACCCGAAGCTTGAAGATGCTCTTAAGCAAATTCAGTCATCTCTGTCTTCCACGTTCTACTATATGTCCAATCACCGGAGCCCTTTCAATACAAGGTACTGGAATGTCCTGTGCAAATGGGCAAAATATTGAGGTTCATGTTTATAATGTTGTTTTTACTGATTTCCCTCCGTTTGCACTGCGTTTATTTTGGAAAAAGTAGGGTGACTGTCACATACCTTAAGGGGAGTCAGAGATGACGAGGGTGGCCTCTCTTGCTGTTCCAGTCCAAATACCCCTGGATAGTGGGAACAGGTGCGTGAGGACAAGGAGGGGCACAAGTGGCGGTAGGTGTAGATTCCTGTCAGAGCTGCGTGCAGGTTACAGGGGTCTTCTAGCAGGATGCAGAGAGCAGGATCCTGGAAGCAGAGGGGAGACAACCTGGGTCAGCAACAATCTGGCAGCGAGGTACACAATCAGGAGGCAGGATGTAATCAGAGTCAGGCCGGGTCAGTAACTTGCAGACAACGAAGTACCAGGGAGTAGGCAGGGAGAGGAGTCCAAAACAAGCCCAGGTCAAGGTCAGGTCAAACAAGCCGGGTCGGTAACAGATGATTGGATCAAGTATACAGGCTTCAGGAACAAGGGACAGGGTACAGCACAAGATCAGTCAGCAGGGAGGTCACGGTGTCTCAGCCTTAAATAGCCCGATTGGCGCCATCATTAGGAACAAGCATGTGCGCACGTCCGCGCACATGCCCAAGCAGAGGCACGCAGTGGTGCCATCCCCTGTGCAGGACGATGCGCCTGCACACGTGCATGTGTAGGTGCCCGTCCAGAACTCCGGCCACACAGGCTGGCTCTGGCTTTAGGAAAGTGGCAGAGTTTAAAGCTAAGACACATTCATGAAGATCATTACACATTTATATTGTGTTGCTTAACAGCAGCAGAGCAAAATCCAGTTTGTTGCCCTGCCAGACAGGGCTGTACTGTGTGGCAGAGCTGTGTAAATCTCTGAACTGGTTGAACAGAAATACAAATCTTTTGGTAGGCAAAACATTTTCAGTATATGTCATTCATGCCTGTGTACCTGGAGTTCATCTTAAATCTTTGCAAGGGAATTGCCCCATCAGAGTTCCACCTACTTCTATGCTGTACACCTGAGGTATGATGGGCATCCAGTTTTGTGAAGGGAAGCCATCCATTAACTGACTCTGGATTCTGAATGAGATACATTGGGAATTTGTGTGTTGTGACCTTCCTATGATTTGGAGGTCATTTCTTCTGGTGAGTTTTAGTTCTATAGGTGGAGGGTCTCACTGGTGTTGAGTGAACACATCACGGATATATGAGCAAGAGGCTTTTTCATCACTGCACATGGAGATCTTCATTTGATTTGGGGCTTTTACACTGTAGTGTTAGATTATTTAATAAGGGAAATCTTCTAGAAGTTCTACATTGTGGACACTCATATAAGGGTGTTTTAATGGTCGAATGGCAAACTTACTTTGCCTATTTATTGTTTTATTTTTTTTTACAATTTTTTCACTGGCTTAAAGGAGAATTATGAGGCGAGTGATTTTCACTCATCCTCATAGTTCCAGCCAACATGTGACAATGAAACTGTCACACGTCGGCTTAATAGAACGGGAAGTGAGAGAACGCATACCGTCGCTCGCACACTTCTCGATCATCTCCCTGCAGAGAGCCGTGACTGTCACTCACGGCTCCCTGCAGGGATTCTCCCGTTCCCGCTCCGATCCTCTAGTGCTGACTGGCAGAAGGGACAGGGGAGGGGGCGGGTACAGCCGGCTCTGCCTCTATATAGGCAGAGCCAGCTTTCACTCACACAGCTGGGTGGATCTCGACAGTAATGTCGGGATCCGTCTCGGCTGCAGCGGTCTCAGTATACTGCAAGCTGTAGCTCGCGATATACTGAGCTTTGGACACCGGCACTCCAAAGTAGAAAAACGTATTTTATTGACGCGTCATGCAACAATACATTTATTGCAACATTTCGGGGTCACACAGGATCCCCTTCATCAGGCAGAACAAGTGAAAAAATACTTTTTTTCATAACTTTTTATACTTTGCCTGGACGGTGGCCATCCATCGACTACTGACGCACCCAACCCATTTATCAAGGATTTAGCGGTAAGGAGTGCAATGGTACACTGACTAATACTGAGCTTTGGGTCACGGGAGGATACTAGTATATGTCCTCCTGTGACCCTTATGAGAACTATGGGGAAAAACACTTACCCCATAGTTCTCCTTTAAGCTGGCCGTAGACCAGTAGATTGTTATTTGAACAAATTTGCTTTCAGATCATTCATTTGATTTTCTAATAGTTAATGGGGTGAAGTAAACGATCGTTTTCAACTATAGTGATGAATATTTTGGAAGAAGCAGGATGGAAATGTATTCTGTAATGAGATTCTAGAAACTCCATTCATTCCAAAATCAAATGTTAAACTCAAACGAAATTTCGAAAACAACATTCGTCAAGTCTCTGATGGCATTATCGAATGTTCTCATGAGACTTTACTTATGAACGCTTGTATGACAATCTACAGGTGTATGGCCTGCTTTAGTTTCTCAGCACTGAGTTTTTGCTATTGCCAATTTTACTATACTACTGGACCAGCTGCTATGAGGGTTTTGTTTAGCGTGTGTGTGTGTGTGCAGTGTGTGTGCAGTGTGGGAATATTTATGGTTGTTAAAAACATAAAGAAGGTCTGTAAGTTTTTAAAAAAAAGTTTCTATCCTTGTTTTTCAAGGAGCTCAGACTCGCCATCCAGTACTTCATCAATAGGTATCTCTGCATGGCCGAAGAGACAAGAGTCCGCTCCAAAATTTCCTTTTGAAGGAGTTTATCAGGAGAAGTCGGTGATCCAGTTTGAGAGCGATCAGCTATACTTCCAGAACAAGTTAGAGGAGGCACAGCGTCTCCTGGAGGAGCAACATCTCAACAACATACAGGTACAGCAATACACTCACTCACAGCTGTCCTTTGTCACAAACCGGGAAAACTGTGCGTGCTAGCCTGCCCTTAGCTTTAAATATGTTCTTTCTTGTTGTACAAGTCAGAACTGGCCCTATCCCTATGTATAATACACTGCTCCCTTACACCTTATTACAATACAGATGGATAATTTAAAGGAAACCTGTACCGAGAGAGACACAGAAACTGCCATTTCTATCCATGCTGGCTGGCTGTCTGCCTATTTTTCGGCTTTAATTTTAATAGAACATCTAAACTGTAGCAGGCAAGTGGACTGACCTGAAGCGACACTCTGGTTTATTCATCTAGAGCCTTGGTTCTCAACTGGTGGGTCTGCTTCACCAGCTTCTTTTCTGGCTATAGCAGCCAGAGAAATGACAGCTGAATGCGGAAGTGATGTAATACAAACAGGGGCGCCCCGAGGCCGGGTGTCGTCATCGCGCGTGGTATCACCTCGCGGGTGCGCGATGACGTCATTGCACATGCGCGGCCATTGAGAGAGGAGGGGATGTTCACCCGGCAGGATGAGGTATGCCGCCGGGTCCCCTCCTCTGTCCTGACACTGTCGGGCTCTTGGTCCATGACCGAGTGCCCGACATTTTAGAGGGGGTGACACCAAAGTAACTGTCAGTCATTTTGGTGTCACCCCTGCAATGGTGTCCCCCGGGTGCGGGCCGCACCCCCTTGTGACGCCACTGAATACACACCACTTCCGCATTCAGAGATTGGAGAGGATATCAACAAGTGGAACAATGCTGATCTCCCTCCGATCTTCATGCTGAGAGCCGCCGGGCACAGTGGAGCCCAGGATAGCCGTTAACGGCGGTGGAGGGGGGGTGGCCTTGAAGGACGGGAGGGCGGTGCACACTGTTGGGCACATACAAGTGATCGGTTGGCTATAGAGCCACTGAACACTTGTATATGTAACATTTGTTACCGGCTGTTTACACCTGTTAGTGTGTTCTGCTCGTGCGTGCGCTAGGGGGCCGCGTGCGAGCAGGAAAAAAAGCTGTATATTTACGCCCCCCCTGCTGGAAGGAGCTTGCCCTCCGCCCGTTTATTTACAATGGGCGGACGGCAAGTAGTTAAAATAATGATGTGATTTGATTATGCTGATATTGAAATTCAAGTGAAATGAGAGCCACTCTTATTGCTTTGGTTACATAATTCAGGTCTTGCATAACCAAAGTAGCTTCTGTATTTCTTGTTTACAGTCACATACATTGCAACACATTGATTCCTCTGAGATTTTATTTGCAGTTTGAGTGTCACGTATGTCTTATATTGTATTATGTGTGCTTTAAGCCGTCCGTCATTCCTGTACGCCATAATGAGCCGTGCAATTAATTTCTCAGATTAGGTGATATAATTCATGATATAACACAGGATGATTATTCACCAGTTTGATTGTCATCTGAAGTCAGATTGGTTACTGTGAGTAATTGTAATGACGCTTTACTAAATATTTCATAAAATTATTAGTTGTTTACTGATGCGTCAACAAATATTTCGTGCTTTTTCAGTTAGTAAATATGTCAGTATTTTGTGCCACATATTTTTTATATTCTATGTAATACAGAGATTTGCAGATTAGCCTTTTAGAGGGAGGTTATTGACTCTGTTTTCTGTTATAAGATATCTGCCAGGCTTGAGAATTCATTATAGCCTTGTGTTGTGAGAAGGAGCGTAAAACATAACTATTGTGTAATAGCAGAAAGTAGGGATGCACCGATATATCGGCCGCCGAAACATATTGGCCAAAAATGGCACTTTTGGCAAAATGCCGAAAGTGCAATTTTTTGGCCGAAATAGCAGTGCATCCATTCTTTCTCTCCTCCCCGATGTCCCAGTGGGGAGGAGAGAAACTGTCACATGAGGCCGAGCACTGCGAGAGGAGAGCGCTGTGAGCGGCCGGCGTCTCTCCTCCCCGCACTGCTCAGCCTCCAGTCACAGAGCGGTGTGGGCAGAGACAGCCAGGGCTGTCACAGGAGGCTGAGTTCTCCTCCCGCACCCCCTGCCCAGCCTCCTGTGACAGCGTGTCAGGATAGAGAGCGGTGTGTGTGTGGCTGTCATTGCTGTCACAGGAGGCTGAGCTCTGCTCCTCACCGCCCCGCCCTGCGTCCTGTGACAGCCAATCCAGGATGGAGAGCGGATACAAACACTCAGCGATCAGTGATCGCTGAGTGTTTGTAAATAATTGAGGACAGAGTATGTTTATCTCCATCACTTCCTGTCCATTCATGATTGTGGTTATAGTAAACATACTATGTTCTCATGTTATAAATGAACACTCGGTATACAGGATTCCTGTTCATTTATAACAGGGGCTGCAGAAAAAGAGATTGAGGACTCTGTGTTCTTAATCTCTTTTTCTATTTTAAAAGGGAAATATCAGCGGTCTGTTTAGATCCCTAATATTTCCCCCCGAAGCCCCTAAAAGTAAAGTAAAAATAAAAAATATTTAATAAAAATGAATAAATAAAAATTAAATATTAAAAAATTAAAAAGTTTATAAAAAATAAATTACATTTTTTTTTTTTAAAGTTAGAATAAAAACCATTTTCGGTTTCGGCCTGACATTTTTTTCCATTTCGGTTTTGAAATTTTCATTTCGGTGCATCTCTAGCAGAAAGGAGAGCCTACGTACTTAATGAGCAAATATGGTTGCTCCTATGTACATATATCACTGCAAACCTATTACCACCAATTTAATTGTACATCGGGCTTATTTTATTTAAACCCAGTCCTATAAGTTACCCTAAAGCTAAAACCCAAGAATGTTCCACCCCCACTCTCATTTCCTGGGTTTTTGCAGTGGTAGTTGGACTTGTTGCTTTGGGCTGTTAAGCAATAGAGAACCACCATCCTATGTTGGCATGGACATGATGCACAGTTGCTGTGTATATTGTGTCCTAAGCAACATGGCGGTTAACGGCACTTGTAACGGACGACCATCAATTGCACATGTCCTCCATATTTTTGGAGACCTCCGCCATTGCTAGAACCGAACACCAGGCTTTTACAGTTTGTATGCTATGTTAAGTATTACGGTTCGCAGTTGTACTTTATACCGTAAGGAATTTGGAATTTCATTCTGCACTGCCACTATTGTATTGGAGAAATACACTGAACACCAACCTAAGGGTCATTTCTCATATGACCCCAATTGTAAAGGGGTACTTCTGGGCTGATGCACTTGCCTCGCCATACTACTGGATCACTGTGTTCTGTATGCTGTGCTGTATTTTACATACCGTAGACCAGGGTTAGCTAAACGCTGGCCCTCCAGCTGTGATGGAACTATAAATCCCATGAGGCATTGCAAGATTCTCACAGCCACACACATGACTCCCGGAGAGAGAATCATCTTGGGATTTGTAGTTTCAGCAAAGCTGGAGGGCCAGAGTTTGGCTACCCCTGCCGTAGACTAACATTATACATACATACTGCAATCTGTATGCTGTGCTATAGGCATCATGCCCCACATTACTACATCTTCTATGATGTTTTGTAATTTACATTCTCTAGACTATTGAACTCTGTTGTACATTCATGCCACAAAGATTCTTTGAGAAAATTCAGAATTCCACCCAGGATACCATTTTGCTAATATACTGTATAGATAAACAATTACAGAGACGATACATTCCCTTTAATGCTGCTCAAGTAGCATAAAGTAGCACATACCTTTTCCCTGCAATTTCTACAATACCTTTTAGTAAATTTTCATCTGTTCCCAGGATCACTTTGTACACTGGGACATACAATCCTCCTTTTTATCAAGTTCTGATCTATAGTTTATTTGCTGAGCCCTTCTGTAACATAGGCTTTACATTATGTTCTCTTAAATTAGGTTTCCCAAATTCTCTGCTTGAATATTTGAAACTAAAATGTTGATTTGTTCACTGTCATTGTCCTTCACCTTACGTGTTTATAACGAATAAGTAAGGGGCAGTCACCTTCGTGCAGTCTCCTTTATAACCACTAGATGTCAGCAAAGCTCCCAGTAATTGGGTAAACCAGTCCAAATAGCAAACATAAAGATTTTCCCAGTCCAACATAAGTAACATTCTGAAAGTACGCATGCAAGGGATAGATGATGTTGCTTCAATTAGATGTCTGGTCAGGTTTAAACCGACCACCAATTTCCCTGTGTATAGAATGAAAATAGAACCTGTCAATGACCTGTTGTTGACATAATCATGAAGTACAGTTTATGCAATGTACAGTTTTTAACGTGCAGTTTGTAGACAGATTTGTAGTTTATACATTCATTGAGCTGCTCTCAGAATTAGCATTGCCCTCTGGCTATTTTTGCCTGGGTAGGAGTGGGGGAGACCTTTAGGAACATAGAAACATTTTCATCATAACAATGGATTATAGGAAAGATAGCTGTACATAGTGCTGATGGTTCAGCAGATTAATCTTCCAAATTCATGTAACTGCACTGGTGCTTCATGGAATTATGTTACACTGCTGTACTGAGGAAAAAACACCCTTAAACATTATGCTGGCCATTGATGGAATGACTTTGTTGTCCAGTTAAGGCTCCATTCATATATAGCGTTTGCGCTTCCCACACGGTTTTCCATGTGGAAGACCGCACAGCACGCAAACACTAAAATCGTTCATCTGCACAGATTCCAGTCATTTGTGGCTATTACTATAACCGTGAACGTGCGGAATCCGTCAAAAAATCACGCGTGGACTATTTTGCATACCGCACGGCCGCCGCAATAGTCTGAACAATGCACATTAAAGTGCATTGTTTTTTATGTTTAGACCGGCCCCGCATGTATTAATACGGCCGAATATGCACGGACAACCGCTCCTGTGTGATTGGAGCCTAACAGTCCAGCCAAGCTTTTTTTTCATTGCATAAGCACTTCAGTACAGTAATCTAAAACCTTCTTCCTAAATAAAAGTTTTGAGAATCTTAAGTCTTAATCCTAAAGTGGAACTAAAGTCCTGCTTTTAAATAGCAATTTTTGGCAAAAAAAAGATAAGCAAAGCCTTTTAAAAAAGAAGAGCCCCATGTTCCTAGCAATTTTTCTTATCATATGTACACTGCACAGTACATGCACCATACAGTGTACATTCCATCTCATTCTCGGCATGCTAAAATAGTCAGATATCAGGGTTAGTGTAACTCCTGTGTGCATGTGCAGAAGGTACATCATCAATGGCTGTCCAGAGGTCACACTACAGAGAAGCACCGCCGGTCCTGGAAGAGTCAGCAGGAGGAGATGGTGGCAGGGGCAGACAGAGCAATGACTGGAGGCTGGACCTGTTACCACTGGTGGAGGGCACTCTGAAAGTAAGTGTACTATAATGTGCAAGTATGATCTGCATCGTTATATATTAGCAAAAGCTCACCACCAGTTTTCGGAGTTTAGTTTCACTTTAAGTGTGGTGTAGAGACTGTAGGGAAGAGTTTGATGCTGTGGTATGGGAGGATATGTGTTACCAATGGGGATAATTGCTGTCACTTCTTGTTCTAGTGCCCTGTCAACAACAGTGACATAGACCGATAAAGCCAGAAGGTCTAACTCTTCTATTCTACAAAAGTGCTTGATTACATTTTTTGTGGCCCTGTTGGAAAGATTCTATTACTCATTCTGCTCTGTCATTGTCCATTCAGAAGGCTAGGGAGCATCAGAGAGAAGTAGAAAAGGGTAGATCTGGTATGAAAAAAATGTATTAACGCTTGCAGTGGGGCTACCCCCGCACTGCAACAGTTAACTGCTCATTTTTGTCTAGATTTTAAAAAAAATGTATACTCCTCTGAACCATGGAGCTGGCTTGTTTTTATATTGGAACCTCCAGCCTTTCTCCCCCTCCGCTAGGGCGGTCTAAGGTCACCTTCTATATACAGTGCATAGAAGCGAGGACGCAGAGGAACAGACAGGCTGGAGGGAGCGCTGTGACAGCTGGTCGGCTTGGAGGTTCGGGTGAGTATAACTTTATTATTTTTGAACCTAGACAAAAACTAGCACTTAACCTTTGCAGTGCGGGGGTTGCCCCACTGCAAGGGTTCATAAAAAGTTTTTTCTTTAATTAACTAATACTATATCTCCATTTTACAACTTTAGTTTAAAAAGATATTGGATTTTTATAGAAATGAAAAATACCTTTTATATAAATTCTCTCTAGTTTTAACCAAGACCCCAGACACATGCTATCATTCACCAGTCAGGGTCAACCCCATGTCAGGACTATTACACTGTGAGTTGGGGATGCACTGATATTTCGGCCGCCAAAACGCATCGGCCGAAAATGGCACTTTTTTATGTTTACTGTACCCTCAATTATGAATGAATTGGAAGTTATCTACATCACATCCTGTTCATTCATAATTGTGGTTATAGTAAACATACTCTGTCCTCATGTTATCAATGAACAGGAACACTCAGTATAGAAGATTCAGGTTCATGTATAACAGGGGCTACAATCTCATTTTCTATTTTAAAAGGGAAATATCAGGGGTCTTTTTAGACCCCCCAACATTTCCCTGAAGCCCTTAAAAGTAAATAAAAAATAAAAATATTTAATAAAAATAAATAAAATATAAAACATTTAAAAGTTTTTTTTTTTTTAATTATATATATTTTTAAAAATTAGGAAAAACATTTTCGGTTTCGGCCTGACATTTTTTGCCATTTCGGTTTTGAAATGTTCATTTTGGTGCACCTTTACTGTGAATGTATCTTTAGTAAAGAACATTTGTTGTTACTAAACTTACTCTGCACACTCTCTGTATAATAACAAAAAAGTGATTTGTTCAGCATATTGAAATACAAATATTTCAGGTTTCTTGCTGCTTCAACATGTTCTGTTGCTGGAGGAATGCAGGGCTCACGTCACTCATGTCTCCCAGTCATCTTTCACGCTGTTAACAAATAATGACATTCCTCCGAGTTTCATATTTCCATCTTTACAATCTGTCTGTTAACACGGCCACATTCTGAAGTCTTTATTCATGCCACATGTCAGTCTGATGGATATGTACTTCAAGCTTGTTAGCAAGGTAATGCGGACAAAACTGCCCTATCTATTAACAAGTCTGACACTTCAAAATATTCTCTCTGTTCTTTGTATTCCACTGTGCTGCATTGTGGGATCACTGTTTATATATTGAGTAGTGACTATAAAATGGTAGTACATTCATCAAAATGAGAGCTTCTAAAATGGCTCAAGGTAACCTTTTCACTGCCCAAGCATGAAAACATATTAGTACTTTCATAAACTCAGCTGATATAGATGTTCTCCACTTTCCTCTTAGATGTGCACCATAAGCATCTATTATGATTATTATACAGCGTTTTATATAGAGCCAGCAGTTTGCACAGCACTGTACAAAGGAGAGGGAGACAGTAAGTACAGTTACAATACAATTTAAAACAAGATGGTTAGGAGGATCCAGCTTGTGAGAGCTTACAATCTACGAGGAAGGGGCGGGGGGGTCAAGTGATTAAAAGGGCATTACTGTGAGGATGAGTTGGTGGAGAAAGTAAAAGTACGTGTTTAGTTGGAGGCAGCATAGGCTTCCCGAAAGAGATGAGTTTTCAAGGATCGTTTAAACGTGGACAGAGTAGCAGATAGCAGTACTCAGAATAATAACGTGCTGGATTATTGTTATCCTAGTTCATTTTATTACTTCATTGCTGTGGTATGTGTATGTGTATAGGCCAATGCCTTGGCTGGCGCTCGTGCAGAAAGTTTCTTGGGCAAACTCACCAGCCCAAGTCGTCACGGACATCGACATCTCCGGACTCCTCCCCCCTTCCCTTTGTTAGCCGACTGAGCCACTTGGGGACATCGACGTCACCGGACTCCTCCCCTCTTCCCTTGCCGACGGAGCCACTTGGGGACATCGACGTCACCGGACTCCTCTCCTCTTCCCTTCGTTAGCCAACGGAGCCACTTGGGGAAGGGGGGAGGAGTCCGGTGACGTTGATGTCCGTGACGTCACCGGATCTCCGACTGGACTCCCGGAAGCCGGCAGAGAGGTGAGTATTTTCATTAGCGATCAAAAACATTTTAATCGATCAAAAAGATTAACGATTAATCGAGAAATTAATCGTTAATTTGCACAGCCCTACTGATTTTGTTTTCATAAATATATATTGGGGATGCACCGATACCATTTTTTCAAGTACGAGTACTGAGACTTGTCCAAGTACTCACAGATACAAGATACAAGTACTGATATATTTTTGTTTATTGTCATGTGACAGTTTTTCTAAAACAATACAGATTAATGATTTCAGGACAGTAGTGGAGCGCCAGAGCTTGGTTCCAGCTGCAACCGCTGCAACTCTGGTAGTTCTTGTGAAAATGCCAAGTATCGGCACTGGTATCTGAACATCCCTAATTAAAATTTATATCAAATCTTTTATACTTTTTTTTTTTTTTCTAGAATTTCCATCAGGAAGTGGAAGAACTAGCACATTCGGAGAGTTTATCTAGTTTGGACAGTCTAGAAGAAGGTCCAAACACTGTAAACGAGGAACTTAATACAGTCCAAGAGCTTTCAGTTGACCCTTTGCAAAGAGCGTTGTCAGAAATCTCTTCCATTGTGAACAGTGGAAATCCCTACACCAATGAAAGTAACAGTGGGTTAAACGGTCAAAAAAGTTTTGAATCTCATCAATTGACAACGGATATGATAAGAGAACAAAACCTATCTATGAAAGAAGAAGAGTGGCACAGATCAGCAGCTGAGCACGCAGTGACGGATACTATAACTCACAATGGATCCTCCTACGCTACTTTCTCATCAACGCAAGAAATAAATCACTTCTCACAAATGCCGACAGCAGAGGAAAAGACCGGTTATTCTGACATGGGTTATAGAGAAAGTACAACTGTTGTGGTTAGGCCAAGCAAAGCTTGGGCCACTCCCGACCCAACCCCAAGAGAAGCCATCCATACCTCGGAGCCACACAATAACAAAGACATGGTACAATGCTCTGGTTTATCAATAAAGCCTACAATGATTCAGCCCTTGGCAACTTCAATAGTTGTTCCATTATCTGGAAGTTCTGCCATTAACTGCCAACCCAACTCTGATTTAAAACAAAGTAAACATGTACATGAATTCCATTCAACAAACTCTGTTTCTGAAGGCATGCCTACTTCATATAATTCACAGTTTTACAGAGTAAAAAGTGACCAGGCTAAGCCTATAGAAAGCAGCAATCCGAGCACCCCATTGCGGGGATACCTCTCCTCACAAAATCTAGTGTCTAATATCAAATCTGGGGATAAGCAAGAGGAGAAGGAACATCGAAACAAAAGTGGTCATTCCCAAGAATCACAAGAAGATCCTGATACCGTGTTGCCTACATTTTATATAAAAGCGAGAATTACCAGTGCTGGAAAAGATGGACACAGGTTGTTGAAAAGCATATTAAAGAAAGGCTCAAAGTATGAAAAGGGTTATAATAGGACGCTGGGTATTGGCAAAATGTTTCAGCTGGGGGAGAAAAGCTCAGATGGCCTTAGGGACAGTGTGGAACTGGCTAAGGAAAAGGAAAATAAGAAAAATAAAAAATTAAGATGGTTAGATGAATCGGACAAAATAAGGGAAAACAAAGAGGCACCAGGCACAATTAGGAACATAGAAGCTACCCAGAAGCCTCAAGTGGAGCCCTCTGCTACAGGACATTTTATGGAACATGTTTTTGTCCCTACTGTTTCCTTAACTGACCAAGTAGGTCCTTCTGCCGGAACTCCTAGCTCTGTTTATTCGACAGGTTACCATTTCACCAAGCAGGCATGGATGGCAACTAAAGGAGAGGAAACGAACACTATAGGCCATACTCAGGCCATTAGAACACCACCAAAGGCAAAAACAAAGGTAGCAAGGCGCCCAAAATCGGCTAAAACCCAATCCGTGGTTGGATATCGGAATAGGAGGGGTGTCATTATACGGCCTCAATCAGCTACTGAAGCAAGTAAAATTGCAAACACTCAGGCAAAGGTGATGGTACCTCATCCTCCACCCAGGCTTGCTGCAGACAATAATAATAGCGATACCATTACAGAAACAAAGGCTCAGCCTGGGAATATAAACATTTCTCAGGTTAATCATTTGAACAATGTTATACAATCACCCAACCATGGTTTAACAAGAGATGCAATGCTCTCTAAAACATTATCTCGTTCTAATATACCTGCACAACAACCTGGTCCTCCTGATGTTGAGAGTGCCACAAAATCCATCTTTACCTTAAACAGTGAGCGGGTGTTAGCTATACAAGAAAGCTTACCCGTATCTGCCAAACGGAACCCTGTATATGGATTGAATGGGCTGCGTCTAGACCATACTCCCACTGATGAGGAAATTGCTCTTTTATGGAAAGGAGTACGATGTGCCTTATCTCATAAAAACTCTGCTGCTGGTACGTTACTTTGCTTGTAAAATAACAAATCTATTCTGGAATAGGTCAGCTTGTTTTTCCATGTAGAATCATTACACTAGGGTGAAAACAAAGAGTTCAACCTTTACTAGTGCTCAGGAACCAGCCTCCTGTCAAGCTCGGTCCTATTGCAGGCTCACCCTTGTCATGTCCTTGGGTAGTATACCAACTAAGGGCCATAGTGTGCTCTCTGGTAACAGTGCTCATCACTGAGTGTAATTAAATGTAAAATGTTTCTGGCACTGGATGTAGCCAAACTTTGTTTTATAAATCCAGGAATAAGTTGTTTTAAGTCCAGGAGTGTAGATCATAGATTATTTGGTATGTTACCAAGTTGTCAATTATTTTCAGGTGAGTGATATCTGCATGAAGCTGGTTATACATGGGACAATATTGTGATAATCTCATTACGTTTGGGGCAAAAACAGATGCATGAAATTCATGTGTGATCAGCTTTAAAGCTGAATTCCAGACGGTTCCAAAATTAGTAAATAGTTTCCCTCCCAATTTTTGCTCTTTTTGTCTAGGGGTTGAGATAACAGAGTAATACCTTTATAGCTGGCGGCACGGTACTTTTCTCCCCAGCACTGGAATATAGACAGTCACTGCTGCCTTATTATGTACAATGCAAGACCAGTGGTGCCCGCTGACTTTGCAATTTCATGTGATGATGTTGGGGAAAGGCACAGCGACCCGACCATTTGAAAACTGGCAAGAAGTAATGATTATGTTGGGGAAAGGCAAAGTGACCAGACCATTTGGAAACTGGCAAGAAGTAATGATTATGTTGGGGAAAGGCAAAGTGACCAGACCATTTGGAAACTGGCAAGAAGTAATGATTATGTTGGGGAAAGGCAAAGTGACCAGACCATTTGGAAACTGGCAAGAAGTAATGATTATGTTGGGGAAAGGCACAGTGACCAGACCATTTGGAAACTGGCAAGAAGAAAAGCTTTGAGGTATGTGTCACAAATAAAACTGGTGGGGAGGATGACCAAGTAAGGTAAAGAGCAGGACCAAGTGGCCAGCAGACACTGTCAGAAAACCCGAATGGTGCATTCAGCCGCAGATTATCCAGCATATTTTTACGGCAAAAGTCAATCTAGTGATCGACTTCTGCCGATGGTATAGAGTCACCAATGCAGCACATTTCGGGTGATTCCTGCTGAATCTGGTGAAATTCACTCTGTGTGTACCCTATTTAAAGGAGAACTATGAGATGAGTGATTTCCACTCACCTCATAGTTCTAGCCGACCTGTGACAATGAGACTGTCACAGGTCGGCTCAGTAGATCGGGAGGTGAGCGAACACATACCAGGTTCGCTCACCTCTCGATCCTGTCACGGCTCTCTGCCGTGACAGGGGGAGGGGCTGGATTCCCCTCTCCCCGCTCCGATCTGCCAGCGCTGACTGGCGGAACGGACGGGGGAGGGGGCAGGTACAGCTGGCTCTGCCTCTAGATAGGCAGAGCCAGCTGTCACTCACGCAGCTGGGCGGATCCCGTCATCTACGTCGGGATCCGCTCCGGCAGCAGGGTCTCAGTATACCGCGAGCTGTAGCTCGCGGTATACTGAGCTTAGGGTAACGGGAGGATGCTAGTTTGTGTCCTCCCGTTACCCTAAGGAGAACTATGGGGAAAAACACTGACCCCATAGTTCTCCTTTTAAGGTAAGTAATACTCTGTTATTTCACCCCCTAGACTAAACAAGCAAAGATCCTTTGTCAGCTGGAAAGATGGGGCAATTTTAATGATTTTAAAGTAAACCTATCATAAACCTGGGCAATAATAAAGCAATGCATAGACAGAAGTTTTTACTGCTTGAAAACTGTTTATCAAAACAGAGATATAGACAGTTGTATATTGTAATCTTGATTTTCCCTGTAAAAAGTCAAACTTGGTACTCCTGCCTCCTAATCTGTCCTTTGTGAAGGTCAGGGTGATGTTTTTTACTTATTTTTATGACTGACCCCTTTATTGTTGTTTGTTGTACTCTAGGTGATTTCCGTCCCGGTGACCTACCTTCTAATTTACAGACACGACCTAACCTGTCCCATGTCATCATCGATGGAGGAACCCTAAATAACTGGAAAACATTTTCTAAAATGAATGGCTACTCCACTCCTTTTTTAAATAGTAAGGTTTTCACCATATAATGCCATATGTGGACAAGATATTTGGTTCATGCAAATGATTTGGGGTAATAGTGTGAACTGGCAAGTCTGGGGAAGAAAATCCTAGTGCCCCCCCAAACCAGCTCCTAGTTATTGATTAGTTTAAAAAATAAAAAGCTTCTGAGATCATTTGGAATTTACTCTTGTTCACTTCAGCTTTTGCATTCCTATAGACCTGTAATGGCATGTAAAAGCAACAGAGGCCCTTACTTACGCAAGTCTGCTATCACGGGATGATCCACAGTGCCTTTTACGCTACTGGAGAGTGGTATTTGGAAGCTGCATTCTGGGTCAGCATACTGGTCTCGTATACTGGTCTCGATTGTGATGTCATGATATCACTGCTGGAATCCTTTACAGTTTTGTAAGAGCCTTGTGATTGACACTTCCAGCAGCCAATGGCCAGCGCTCATGTCATGTCACACTTGTCAGTTGGAAGCGACATGGGCACTGCAGACAGGCCTTCCCACACTACGGTACAACCAATAGATTGGGACCACGGTTTTAGGTTAGTTACTGGAGCTCTTAGTTATTTTTTTTAACCATAAAAAGTAGTGACTAGCTAGGGGTGGGTGGAGCGGGTAGAGGAAAGTTTTTTGTTTTTTTAACTGGAGTTTTAAGTGACGGTTAAGAAAAAGTTTTTATTAGGACCTTGACTCTGGTATAAAGATGTAATGAGGTAAAGTGAGTACATTTCTTATGGAGCAAAGGCAATAATCTCTCTCTCTCTCTCTCTCTCTTTTTTAAAATGTTTTTAAATATTTAATTTGTATTATATTTACTGTCAGGGGCTTTGGGGAAATATCAGGGATCGGATATTTCCCTTTTAAAATGGAAAAAGAGATTGAGGACACCGAGTCACCTAAATCTTTGTCAGAAATCTAACACCTAAATCTTTTTTTTTCTGTAGCCCCTATCTTGAATGAACAGGAAGCCTCTAGACCAGTGATTCTCAACCTGTGTAACCTCAGGACCCACATTTGTCCTTGGTCATTAAGTCGCGACCCAAATCGCACCGCATTGGAGCGCACGGCATTGCGGTACCGCACGTTCCGATGCGGGCGATCAAACTGTGGGCAGATGGGTGCGTTTGGGGTGCCATTCAAATGAATGGCAATTCAAATGAATAGCAATGCAACACAACTCCCACACCAGAATTTGCGGTAGGTGCCATATTTGCGTGGTACAATGCAGTAATCGCACTGGACTGTGCAATTAACGCTCTGTACTAGTGTGAACGGACCCTCAAAAACACTGTCAGACACACACAACCACAGACACAGACACAATCTCACACACTCAGACATTCTCACACACACATACACACTCCAAAATAAATTAAATTTGTTTTCCTTTTTTTAAGATCCGCCCAGTCTCCCTATCATATCGAGAACTGTGGTGGATCCTCAGCCTGAGGTCCAGTGGGGGCTGCAGTGCTGTGACAGCGCTCCATCCATTTTGCCATGGTCCCAGGTCCCCCAAAAGAGCAGGGGACCTCAAAAACCATGGTTGGTGGTGGTGTACAATGTCAATCAGTGTCCCCTGTCACAATGTCTCCTGTCATTGTAGAAGCTGGGGAGGCATTAGCAGGGGCTTCGCTGCAAGTAGAAAACTTGCAGCACAGCCCTTCTAAGGCCCCCTCCAACAGACCCCTCCCAGCTTCTGCACTAACGGGAGACAATATGATAGGGGACACTGGTGGGCATTGTGTAGGCTTGGAATACATAATGTCCATCAGCGTCCCCTGTCATAATGTCCCCTGTCATTGCAGAATGCTAATCCAGCACACTGTACACATGCCCCTGTGTGGCTTGATATGTCCTGCACTGTGTACTGCAGGCCAGGACTTTAACTTGCTTGTCGGGACCTGCGGTTTCTGATATCATTCTGCAAGCCGAAAGTGAGAAAATAGTCCCCTCTCTTCCCGGGCCCTATTACTTCAGCGGGGTGTGGGGGGGCGGGAAATAGGGGATAGATTCACAACACGGAGTTCCCTTAGACCAGGGGTAGGCAACCTCAGCACTCCAGCTGTGGTGAAACTACAAGTCCCATGAGGCATTGCAAGACCCTGACAGCCACAGGCATGACTACCAGAGCCAGAAGCATGATGGAAGTTGTAGTTGCAGCACAGCTGGAGCGCCGAGGTTGCCTACTCCTGCCTTAGACTGACAGAAAATCCCCCCTCTGTGTCTCCCTACTGATGATGGGCTGCTCCATGCAGGAAGGGGCGCCGTGACCCATTGCAGAAGGGCTCGCGCCATACTTTTCGGTCGCGACCCATGAGTTGAGAACCAGGGCTCTAGACTGAGTGCTCCTGTCTATTCATAAACTGAGGAGATAGTATCAGTTACTTTCTGGCTTGCCTCATTTCTCTGTGCTGCATCTTCCTGGTGTCCTTCTTATACTTTTAGCTCTCTGTCCACGGTCTTCTGAGACTGTGCGTCAATTGTAGGTGTCCTGTTTTTCCCTTACCTCTCTTTCCTACTGCTAAGCCCACTTCCCTCACGGCCCTAAATCACCCCGTACTACTCTGTTTTTCTCTCATCATGACCCAGCACCAGTCTGATCCCCACACTATATTTACAAACTCCCATTTTGTACTGTGCTCTTAATTGTCTTTTTTTTCTCACTTGCCTATTTTCCTCTTGCTGTTTGATAGCTCTCCTCAAGCTTTCAAGCGTTCAGTGTGCTTCTTATCTCTCTTCCCAACTGCAATACGGTCCTGACCAAACCTCTTTCCCCCATTCATCTGCTCCCTTGACTTGACTTACATCCATATCTTTAACCCCTCCTCAGTTCCCACCTTTCTCTCCACATTCAGGTCATGTTCCCCCATTACCACCACCATATTTAACCCGTGCCCATCACACCCCGCAGCCATCAGCTCCCTTTCTCCCTTTTTTGGGCAGTCTTTGAAGAAGACTGCAAACATTCAGCACCCATTAGGTGCATCGCACAGGTGAATTGTATAATGGCCAAGGAAGGAATCAAAAGGTTCCCAGAAGCTTGCATCTATAATAACTTTAGCCAAATTCTAGCCAATAAAGAGTATCACTGAAACTCCAAAATGTCCTCAGTAATGAATTCTTAGAATGGTACACTTATCTGCAACGCACAAACTGACCTAAATAAGCCCACTTTTGCCGGTAAATATATTTGCAGGAACTCTGGAGTGCCTGGTGTAAGTCAGGCATTTTGATTTTGAAAGGGCTAGAAAGCCTGGCAGTGGTACTATAACAACCCGCTGACAATGACTAGATGCAGAACATGCTGGAATGGTGTGTAAAATGTTTACCTAAAGGCAGCAATGGAAACTGGTCCAGGATATTACATATAACTAAATAGAAGTTCTTATTTGGAAGCCTAAATCGTAACTTAACAGAGGATTGGAACTTTTTTTTTTTATCACCCTGTTTTCTTATTAGGTTATGTCACCCTTCCAAGAAGAAGGCAGATTGTAGATAACAGCGAGAACAAACGTAAAGCTTTGCTGGAGCAACGAAAAAGCAGGCCTGGTTCAGAAGGCTGGAGGCCTCCACTCTCACAGGTAGGCAATGACGGATAATCTCTTAATGAATGATACGTGCAAAACATCTGCCCAGGCCCAAACCATGCAAGAAAACTAGTTTATCTCTATAAAGAGAAATGATAAGTTTGCAATGAAGGGTATAGACTCAAGAAAAAACATTTCATATATTGCAGCTTAACATTTTTAACATTTTAGGAGAAAAATGTTAGATAAAATGCCGAACAGAGTTCACATAACTCATCCATCTTAGTGAATGGAACCTTATGTGTCTGGAGGAAAGTGCGGCCAGTAATCACTGGTGTTTGTTCAGAACATATCACCAGTATGTTTTCATCATTGTGTAAACATGGCAGCTAATGAACACTGAGCAGATTACAGGCGACATGACTTCATATTCATGCATATGCCGGAATGAAAGTGGTTACACAATGTCTGATTATTTAATCTTCCCCCAACACTTCAGATGTCATCACAGTATTATGTAAATGCATTGCAGGCTCACGTAGATTAGTGTAATTGTCATACATTGAATTAATTTCTTTAAATCTAAAATCGTTACTTTAGAATTAATATATTTGTACTGCTGTCTTTAGACACATTGAGGGGGGAAGTATTTATCAATGGCTTAGCAACTTTTTTTTCCTGTCGCAATCGTATAAGTTATGCAAAATAAAAATTAGTTTTTATAAGAGGTGCACCAAAATGAAAATTTCAAAACCGAAATGAAATAAAATCAGGCTGAAACTGAAATTGAAAATGTTTGTTTTTTTCTAACTTTTTCAAATGTTTTCAAATATTTTATTTTTTATAAACTTTTAATTTTAATTTCATTTTTATTCATTTATTTTTATTAAATATTTGTATTTTTTTAATTTACTGTTGGGGGAAATATTAGGAATCTAAACAGACCCCTGATATTTCCCTTTTAAAATAGAAAAAGAGATTGAGAACACAAAGTCCTCAATCCTTTTTTTCTGCAGCTCCTGTTATAAATGAACATGAATCCTCTATACTGAGTGTTCCTGTTCATTCCTAACATGAGGACATTGTGTGTTTACTATGTCCACAATCATGAATGAACAGGAGGTGATGTAGATCACTTCCCATTCATTCATAATTGAGGATATAGTAACCAAACTCTGTCCTCCAATTATTTACAAACACTCAGCGATCCCTGATCACTGACGACTTGTTCCCGATCTCCATCCTGACGCGCTGTCACAGGAGGCTGAGCGAGCGGTGCGGGGAGGAGAGCTTGATCTCCTCTGACAGCTGACTCCTCCCCCGCACCGCCAGCCCAGCCTCCTGTGACCGCTGACAGCTGTCTTCGCCCCCAAACCGCCGTTCTCCTGATCTTTCACAAGAGGCTGAGTGGTGCGGGAGGAGAGACGCTGGCCGCTCACAGCACTCTCCTCCTCCCACACTGCTCAGCCTCCTGTGACAGTTTCTCTCCTCCCCGCTGGGACACATAGCAGCGCCCAGCGGGGAGGAGAGAAAGCACAGATGCACCGTTATTTCAGGCGAAAGATGGCACTTTCGGCATTTTGCCAAAATTGCCATTTTCGGGCCCATTTGTTTCAGCGGCCGAAATTTCGGTGCATCTCTACTTTTTATGCTACTGATGCAACTTTTTCTTGACCGCTGGCACTCTTCTACTTTAGTGGCTGATTGTGGATTATTTGGGAGTAAGTGCATATATTTGCTGTGACAAAGCATTTGCGGTAAAACTTACATACCGAGCTGTCCCACATCTTTTCTTCCTTGCCATTTCTGCCCTCCATTATATTGCTCCTCCCCCAGCCATCCTTCCCACAACAGTCACAAGAACACTTTTCTCTTGGCCCTCTTCCCTCCCTCACTTTCACAATGCTCCTTTCCCAGCTCAATTCCGTCAGTCATAGCACTCTTCTCGCGGATGTGTTTCCCATGGTCACAATGATCTGCCGAGTTATAATATAGTGTTCAGCTATTGGCTTCAGGCAGGCTTCAGCAATCTGTACTCCACTCTTTGCAATCTGCACTGGAATAGCAAAGTCGGAGCAGCAGCCACAGCTTTACATAATCTGTGCAACTATTGTGACAGTTTTTCTCGGTGACAAATTCCTGTAAGAAATCAGCACTAAAATAGTAAATCAATTGCCCTATACATTGGAATCATGCTTTGCGGCCAATTACAGGACACAAATGATGCGACCACTATGATATGCTTCCTCGACCAAGTGTAACAACTTGCATATGCATCTTTATTCTCCGCATGATGATGCACACAAATCATATAGTTCTGAACACTGTTGATGTAAGAGTCTACTATCACAGACCTGAAGTTCAGCACATATCTTTCTGGTCATGCCATGAGAGCCCATGATCCCAGACCCTTGTATGCATATAACCAGTATGGTGGTTTGGAATATAAGATGTAGCATATAAATGTTAGAAAAAATTTCACCCTACACCTTCTAAAAACTTACCTTGACACGAACCTTAGGCTATGTCTCACACCGTACCTTCATCCTGCCCTTAAATGTATCATAGCCCCTAAATTAAGGGTTGGGGTAAGTTTATAAAGCAACAGTATGACTTTACCACACTCCAAAATCTTGTGGAAAACGTTCCCAGAAGAGTGGAGACTGTTATAGCCACAACGGGTGGTTGGGGTCAGCTCAGTTTAATGCTTATGGTTTTGGAATGGGATGTCCAGCAAACTCTATATGTGTGATGGTCTGGTGTCCACAAACTTTTAGCCATATATTGTATAATTATTTTTACTTTCTTGTCCCTGTACACAGAACTTCCACACAGTGAAGATAAGCCCATTCCCCAGTACACATGAGCCTTCACAAGCACACCCTGCACCAGCTTCTGTTGAAGGTATGTAATGCACCATTGTGGGTTTTTTTGCAGCATTCTGCTTATGCACCAACAAGGGGCTCTATATCAAGTTCCTAAAGCTGTATTCACATTGAAAGGGATCTCTGGTTTGTATGAAGATCTTCCATCAGTTTATGACCCTTTTGTGTAATAATATGAAACCCCACAACCTCCTTGACTCATATTCTGCATTTCTTGACATTACCCTGAAGATTGAGGTCCATGCTAATATGTTCATAGAATAGATTTGTATCTGTTCTATGTATCTTCATTTCTTTACATGAAACAAATCCTTTACACACACTTTAAAGTGTATCTAAAACCAAAGCTTTTTTAGAATGGCTTAGTTATTAATGGTTACCTGGGCAGATGGAGATTCACCCATCAATTCTCACCAGGACTGAATGTGAGGGGAAATCTTACATTTGTTACTGAAACAAATATAGAGGGGATGTTTTCAATGGGGACCCTTAGTTCTGTGGACAGTTGTCTAAAGGTGGCAATACACCGTGCCGCTTTTGGCACCCTTTCAGCCGGCATTCTTTGATCAGCTGATCGAAGGAGCCAGTTGGAAAATCTGGATGCCGTGATGGGTAAGTGTCAGTCTGGAGGAATGAGCATTCCCGAGCAGGCTGTATTTGGATGTAGACCATCCTAGGTAATGCCCACATGTGATGTTGAGCCACTATGATTGAAAGAACTGATATCCAATGAATGAAAGGGGTGGCCAGGAACAGTGGGGCTGCGGAGGAAAGTGCAAGATGAGAGGATTTCAGTGTGCAGTGAAATCTGAGTAGGCAATTTCAGTCCAGAGCCTGGACAACTGAAGGTAAGGTTGGAGTTCAGCTTTAAAAGAAAATAAAGAGCTGCAGTAAAGCTCACTTATGCAGTGTGAGGATGAGTACTGACATGTAAGAATGTTAGTCATACCCAATTATGAAGCTCTTGTTTATTCTTTGCTTCTTGTCTGTATGTAGTTTCAGAAAGCACGGCTCAGTTTATGCTGGCAGAAAATCTGGTGGAAACATCTGCAACAGATGGAGAAATCTTAGCTGCCATGCAAACATTTCAGGCAAACAAGCACAATCTCCAGAGCCACAAATCCCCGAACGCAGGACACACAGCTCTGTCTATAGAAGAACAGAGGCTCCTCCAGTCTCTTGATCGCCTTAACCAGAGGCTGCATAGTAAGTACATAGCTTGTAGGCATAGGCTGCCGTAATTATTCATGTCAACAGTATAACTGTATAAACTACAAGTGTAATGAAGAACATATGCCAAATATAGAAAAGATCGCTACCTAGATGTATAGACAAGCCAGCAAAACACAGAGCTCTGTCCTTAGAGGATAAGTGCACTTTAAAACAAAGTGCATTTACCCTTTAACGTGACATCACTACTTCCTCCCTCCTTGTGCACAGATGCATACTTACTGAGTTCCGACATGTCCGCCATCTTATGGTGACTGTTTGTTTTCTCCTTCTGGCTGTGCTTGCACAACACATCCCCATTGACTTCTATGTAGGGCTGCAGCTAACGATTTTTTTCATAATGGATTAGTTACCCGTTTCTTTTTTCAATTAATCGATTTGTTGTATTTAAAAAACTCTCTCTCTTTCTCTCTCTCTCTCTCTCTCTCTCTCTCTCTCTATGACTTCTATGGAGCTCATTTCCCAGCCAGTAGAAGGCGGTAGACAAGCCCCATAGAAGTCTGTGGGGCTCATCGGAAGAACATTGGATTCAGCTGTGGCCAGGAGAAGACTTCCACCGCAGGATGTAAACTAACAACCAAGGTCGGGCTCATCAGAACTCAGTAAGTATGGATCTGTGCACTAGGAGGGAGGGAGCAGTGACGTCACTTTAAAGGTGCCTAAAGGATAAGTGCACTTTGTTTTAACAAGTGCTTATCTTTTAATGACTTATTTCTGTGGTTCCAAAAAGTTCTTAAAATGTATAAATAGATCTTTTGTCACAAGTGATCTTTTTTAAAAGATGTTTGTGGCCTTATGTACATATGTATTGCTTTATAATAGTTTATTAATGCTCATTGGAAGAACATTGGATTCAGCAAGTATTTACAAAGTGCTTTCTTGTAGCACTTAAAGCTCATGTTGGGAGTGCTATATATGGATCTTAATGGAAATGGTAGCTGTAGCTTTAAACAAGCTTTAAGTAAACGTAAAGCAGTACTGATAGTGCTAGAACTTTTGGAAAGCTACTGAAAGCTGATCTCCAGGTACAAAAACTACCCCCTCTTCCTCTGCACAGTGTTCATCCATTTCTTTTTCTAATTTTGTCTTTTACTTACCTTAAAAAAGAACTCTGGGGAAAATGTTTTATTAACCCTTGCAGTGGGGCTACATCCACACTGCAAGGGTTAACCGCTCGTTTGTGTCTAGGTGCTAAGAAAAAAAAAGTTATACTGACCCAATCATTCAAGCCAGCTTGTTCTTAGACCGGTCCCTAGAGCCTATCTCCCCCTTCATTGCAGCAGTCCAGGAATCCTTGTGTCATCATGTTCTATACAAATGTATATATACGTGAGAATGGTAAGGAACATTCCATCTGTGCAGCAGAGGAGACAAGCTTCAGTGATCGGAGAAGCAGGAAGTCGGCTCGGCAGGTTGGGCGAGTAACTTTTTTGTAGCCCCATTGCAAGCGTTAATACAAATTTTCCTTGGAGTTCTTCTTTAAATTCTCCTTTGATGTAGCAGTCACATGGCCAACCCTTGCCAATGCTCATCTCCCAGTGATCCAGCTTTAGGCAGTGAATTGCAGCGCACAGAGGCACCTCATGTGGCATTAGGCATTGCGCCTACATGCTGTGTCCTGCCTTGTTTCATTATGTCATTCCTGTAGTCCTGAAAAGCACAGTGGGTGTATACGCTGTTTCCCCGAAAATAAGACCTACCCCGAAAATAAGACCTAGTGTGTTTTTTTGAGCCCCAAAAAATATAAGACAGTGTCTTATTTTCGGGGGAAACACGGTACTTGACACCCTAGCTGCACAGGAAGAGGCTGTATGATGGTGGGTGTCACACAGCAGGAAGTGTGCCACCAATACAGACAATGAAAACTTCAGATTTGCACAGTGAGGCTAGAGCTTTGCTTTAAGGTGAATTTTAAAAAATGTAGTTCTACTTGAAATGCTTTGTAAGTGCTTGTTGAACCTGAGCTCTTACAGCCATCATTTAGAAGCAATGCCTGATTGTATGGTAGCTTTAAGTTACATTGAAATTGGTAAAGCAGTACTTTGTTCATGTATATGAATGTACTGTACATGTCTCTGCTCTCATGTATTGCTTCTATGTTACTATAATCTAAAGTAAATTGGCACTTTCTGTAGGTTTATTGAACTGACGCTCAAGCTTTGCTTTTCCCTTTGCCATGCTCCACCACTGTACAGCCCTTAAAGCACTAGACTAAAACCCGCTTTCTAAAAGTCAATATTTGCATAGAGCTGAGCATGCCCTTCACATGACAGCACCTAAGCCTGGTGAGTGGCTTGTCCGTCACTGAGCAATGCATTGTGGGAGACAGCATCACATGTGCCTCAGAAGTACTAGGCTTTTTGGGGGCACCAGCAGCAGATCATGATGGTGGGGAAGCACAGTAAAGGTAAGATTCCCTGTCAGGGTAACTGCCAAAAAGCTTGAGGGTGACATTAAACTTTTACCGAGTTCAAATCTAACTGGTTTATGTGCTTATTTCAGCTGTGCAGGACACAATGAGCAAAGCCCCAGGAGCTGCAAATGGTTTTCCAATGAAATCAACATTGGTGAGTTTCAGTTTAAGAATCACCAGCGAGTGTTAAAATTCTTTCTTCTCCACAATTTTTATTGCTTAAAAGTTTATTCCAGATTTCTACCAAATGTGGGAAACTGAAATTACCCCCACAAATTGGTCCCCTCTGCGCACCCCTGCTATTCATACGTTTGGTTCCCCCCCTACTGCAGCCGGTGTACGATCCATACCCTGTACACTGCATTGCAGCCTGGTACTCTGTATATAGAATAATGCTTGCAAATGGCAAGCATTCATTAGTCAGTGCGGTCACCTGACCACACTGACCAATGAGAAGCACTTCCTAGGGTGTTATTCACTAAGCTGCCGAGTGAATGACCGAGCTGAAGTGAAGTCAAGCGAATGCAGTTCAGCTATTCACTTCGGCCCTGTACGGCTGATTTCATGTTGTTGATTGCATGTTCGGCTGAGCCAAAGTGAAGGAAGCGTTCAACTCAGCCGATCCAACACCTGGATCGGCTGAGCCGAACGTCCGGCAGTTCACCCCTATTCTCAGGGGCCAAACAGCAGTGAGTGAATAGCCAAATGCCGCAGAGATGTGATGTCAGCAGAAGGTTCCGATCAATGTCTTAAGACTTCACCCACAGCCCCAGAGCTGGGGGGAGTAGAAAGGACAAAGCAGTCACATGACCATGACATGCTAAATGGCATGTTTAGCCAATGAGTAATTATGGACATTAGGGAAGGGGGGATTTATTACAACTGGAGCAGACAGAATCTGGAGCAGCTGTGCCCAGCATCCAATCAGCTTCTCTTTTCAGCTTATTCCTTTCAGCTTTAAAAATGAAAGCTAGAAGCTGATTGGTTGCCATGCATAACTGCTCCGGATTCTGTCTGCTCCAGTCTTAGTAAAATCCCTTCTATGTGTTTTTAGACACTTTAATATTTCTATATTAGAGGACTATATACATAATTATATGTGTTTGCCTTTATTTTTTAGAACGTCCATCATATTCCAGCTCAGCCAGTGGAAAATGCCACACCATCGCACAAATACCGCAGCCTGTCTGCCGACCCCCGCACGCGGCTGCAGAGAAGATACTGACTGCGTTTTATACTGTCACAGCACACAGCAATGTATATCTCTGTATATATGTATTTATAAATGTTTTTATATAATGTTTTAATCTTTTCTGATATATTTGAGTGTGTTCCTTATGTACGGGTTAGTTGGTTTATTCATTTACAGACGTTCTTGATCCAGAAGAGTTATATAACTGCAGTGCAGTTTCAGAACCACAATCATTTATGTGAAAGTACTTTTATTGGGTTTCTATGACTACAACAATCAGGGTGTGAATATTCAGATATTAGGTGTTCTCCGTGTCATTTCCTGCTCTTCATGTCATAGATGAATAATTCTAAACTATAAAAGAAACAGCTCATCTCCCATAATGCACTGCAGATATCATTGTGCCAGTACATGCAGTAGAGGGGATAGATGCATGTACATTGTTTGAGGGTTTGAGCACGTTAGCTGTTCTCTGCTTCTAGACAAATGATCACATTATGTTTTCATATTAGCTTCTTGAAATGCCCTGTACAGCAGCACTTAGTCTGGGAGACAAGTCAGACTGGGCTTATTGCTTTGCACAGTGCTGTCAATCTAACATTGTGCATATGCATACAGTAGGGTAGATAGCACGGCAGACGTCAACAGTGTTCTTCTTCTTCATTGTCTAGTCAGGTGGGGGTGAGTTCTGGACCAAGCAAAACTGCTTAAAGTGACATTAAACCCTCAGATTTTTTAACATAAAACAATACTGTAATGTGTGCCTTACTGTAATCCATGGTTGTTTCCTTTCTCTTTGCTGCTCTTCCTTTTAAATCTGTATCTGTTCTCATGCTGGGCAGAACTTCTGTTTTGCAGCAGACTGCCTTGTCTCAGGAATGGATACACGGTGTCTGTGTATCTGTTTGTATAGGTTTGTAACCTGAGCCAGCACTACAGGAAGAGGCACTCAGCTGCAAAGGGAAGTTCTCCCCAAGCATGAGAAGACATGAGGATTTAAAAGGAAGAGCAGCAAAGAGAAGGGAAACAACCATGGATTACAGTAAGGCACACATTACAGTATTGGTTAATGTTAACAAATCTGAGGGTTTAATATCACTTTAAGTGTAGTGAAGGTCAAGAACCTCGCTATGCTGTCTGCCAGGGGTGCCTGGATCACAAGACCAGCTGAACAGTAGTCCAAACAAGGTAGAAGTGCACATTGGCAGGTGAAAAAGTTCCCTATTTCACTTTTTGCCTGCAGTTCTGACATAGGATGATATTCTTCTATAAAGGGCAACTGGGAAAAAGGTGAAATGCATTAGTGATCAGCACCAGCCCAGCAGACTTTATGTAGCTCTTTCTTGAGCAATAGCGGAAAAGATCATCTACACACACATCCTGAACTACCTCTTTGAACCACACATTTTCCAATCACCCAAGCTGTAAAGATTGTGGTGGAAATCTGATCACAAATGCCCCTTTGATTTGTACCCATTTTCAAACATTTGGTTGCAGGAAACTAGGAGACGGCCATGCTAGCAATGTCAATATTTCAGGGCTCATTCACACTCTTGGGTGTTGCATTAAAGCGCTCGTTAATGTTCATTTTGTTACACTTTAACATGCCTCGCATTAAGGCCAACGCACCAGAATACACAAGAAACCTACATGCAGCTTCTTATTTTCAATGCAGCCAACCACAGCACATGGTAGTGCATTACCGCACCTTCTGCTGTGCTGCAACATGTGTGTTGGAGCTGTATTGCCTTCTTGTGTTGGGATTTCATTTAGAATGAAAATGGTAATGTGTGCACCAAAGTGTGAGTGGGCCCTAATGTAATGGTGCTTGTTAGAGCCCAACGCGGCTGGTGTGAACCCGCCATTACTGAAAGGGACACGGATATCAATCTGTGAAAATGACCCACAGGAAATTACTCATACAGTATATGTATGTCCTTGCACTGATTTATATATTGTCATTGTTCTGGAAAACAGGGGCATTTGTATTCAAGCCCTTTTAGATATATTTTTATAAAGACTGTTTTAGGAATTGTGTTGTCTAGGTAATATCACATATCCAGAGAAGTCGCCTGTCTGGGCAATTAAATTGTAACTTATATATTGCAGTTTATGGTGCTTTTCTTTTGGTTGTGATAAAGATGATCCCATAGGGTTGTAATAGTACATATCAGATTGTGCAGATTAGGTAAAAAAAATACAATCTAATCTTACAGTGAGCCCACGCTTATCCTAAAATAAGCCCATGCTTATCCTAAAATGAGCCCATGCTTACCCTAAGGTGAGCCCATGCTTACCCTAAGGTGAGCCCACGCTTATCCTAAAATGAGCCCACGCTTATCCTACGGTGAGCCCATGCTTATCCTAAAATGAGCCCACGCTTATCCTAAAATGAGCCCACGCTTATTCTAAAATGAGCCCACGCTTATCCTAAAATGAGCCCATGCTTATCCTAAAATGAGCCCAAGCTTATCCTAAAATGAGCCCATGCTTATCCTAAAATGAGCCCATGCTTACCCTAAGGTGAGCCCATGCTTACCCTAAGGTGAGCCCATGCTTATCCTAAAGTGAGTCCATGCTTACCCTAAAATGAGCCCATGCTTACCCTAAGGTGAGCCCATGCTTACCCTAAAATGAGCCCATGCTTACCCTAAGGTGAGCCCATGCTTATCCTAAAATGAGCCCATGCTTCCCCTAAGGGGAGCCCATGCTTATCCTAAAGTGAGCCCATGCTTACCCTAAAGTAAACCCATGCTTACCCTAAAGTGAGCCCATGCATACCCTAAAATGAGCCCAGGCTTACCCTAAAGTGAGCCCATGCTTTACCCTAAAGTGAGCCCATGCTTTACCCTAAAGTGAGCCCATGCTTTACCCTAAAGTGAGCCCATGCTTTACCCTAAAGTGAGCCCATGCTTTACCCTAAAGTGAGCCCATGCTTATTCTACTCCCTCCTCAACTCCTCCCATGCTCGCCTCCAGGACTTCTCTAGAGTCTGTCCCATCCTCTGGAACTCTTTGCCCCAACCTGTCCGACTATGTCCCACTCTGATTGCCTTTAGGCGATCACTAAAGACTCATCTCTTCAGGGAAGCCTATCCCACCTCAACCTAACCACTGTACCATCACGTTCTCAAACAATTCATCCCCACACAGCTACCTCCTCATGTATCGCTGGCCCCTCCCTTTGACATTGTAAGCCCTCATGGGCAGGGCCTCCTTACAATCTTGTCTTGATTTGTATTGTAATGTCGTCCTTATATTGTAAAGCGCTGTGCAAACTGTTGGCGCTATATAAATACTGTATAATAATTCTAAAGTGAGCCCACGCTTACCCTAAAGTGAGCCCACGCTTACCCTAAAGTGAGCCCAAGCTTACCCTAAAGTGAGCCCATGCTTACCCTAAAGTGAGCCCATGCTTACCCTAAAGTGAGCCCATGCTTACCCTAAAGTGAGCCCAGGCTTACCCTAAAGTGAGCCCATGCTTACCCTAAAGTGAGCCCATGCTTACCCTAAAGTGAACCCACGCTGATCTTAAAATAAGCCCACGCATATCATAAGGTGAAGCCATGCGGATCTTAAAAATAGCCCTTGCTTTTCTAAAGAAGGTTGACTTTGATGCCAGCCCCAGCAGCTACACATACATATCTTCACTTCACGTTCCCATTGCTGGGTGGCTGCTGGAAGTGAGGCAATTCTCTGTCTAAGCTCCAAGCGTCATTGTCTACGCAAAGACTGTTTAAGGGCCCATTTACACTTTGCCGTTGCATTAGTGTTAGCGTTGTCACACCTTAATGTAAGTAGTGTTAAGGTAGACCACCCATTTTGAATGGGCTGCCAACAAAACAGAATGTGCATGCAGCATTTTTTCCAACACGCCACAATACCACACATGGTAGTGCATTGTGGTGCGTTGCATCACATGTGCATCAGAGCGGCTTTGCCTTAGTGTGTTGTGGTGCCATTCAAATTAATAGCACTAAAACATGAACAGAACCGGAATAAGTGGAAAATATTCCAATGGGGGCACCCATGGGGACAAAAAGCTAACAGGAGTGATAACCCCCCTTCCTAAATCCATCTAAAACTAAAAACAGTTTTGGCTTCAGTTTTACTTTAAGTCCCCTTATACGTGAATTTACAAGCAAGTAGGTGGGATTAGTCTTCTTGTATTTCTCACTTTGTTTCAGTTAAAGGAGAACTACATTCAGTATAAAGAAAAATCAATCAAATATCATGTCATTCTGTGTGCGCTGCTGCAGTACCTGAATTTTTCCGATCCTCCGCCCATGGTGCCTATGTTTCTAACTGTCGGTGGGAGCAGGTACGGTGCTGCATTGTGGGGAAAGGCTAATTTATGATCTGGATCCCATAGAAACAGGATGTTTGCGACAGGCCATATTTCTTACCTTGATCCCAGAAATGTTGGGAGATGACTCCATACATAAAATGCAGACAGCGGAACATGATTTCTCACTTTCTGTATTTATAATTGCAGTTTGTGTTTTGCCTGGAGTTCCCCTTTTATAGAAGCACTTCAGGCGTGTAGAAAACTAACCCCTGCAGTGGGGCTACCCCTGCATATATTTACCCTTGACCAAAATGAGCATTTAACCCTTACAGTGATGGTATCCCCACTGCAAGGGTTAATATTTTACATGCCTCTAGTTGTTCTTTAAGGCTGTGAATGCTTTTCACTGACTGAGCGGAGTTCTGTCATTCTACTGTTGTAGCCGACTCTATAAAGCTGTAATATTGATTGACTGAGATAACGTTTTAAGCCTACGCCCTCATTCACGCTGGAATTGGCCCGCACATACAGCTCCGTGTTGCGTGCACAGCCGTATCGGGCAGCTCCCGGGAAGGACAGGTGCTGTGTGTGATTAGTATGCAGCCCCCGTCCTTCTCTGGGAGTACGTGGCCGTACGCCGCCCTACGCTCACCTCAAGTGCAGGTCCGTATGGGTGCGTGTTTCCTGCTCAGACGCAGACAGGATCCATCCTGTCAGCGTACGAGTACGGACACCCAAACCCACACGGAAGTGCAGGGTGGGTGAGCTTAGGGCAGCGTACGGCGTACTTCCCGTAGAGAAGGACGGGGGCTGCATACTAATCAC